GAACGAAAAATGAACTTGGACGTCAACCATGCCGCATTTAGCTCGGAATGTTTGCTTTATAAAAGACTTTTTGATCAGAAGAAAAGCAGCTTGCGTTTCAATAAATAGCAGCCAAGTTCCAGGAATGTGAATCAATTCGATTTTTTATACTTGAATATTGCGGGGTTGTCAACAAACTACGTAGCATTACGTCAGATTGTTGAGGAAAAACGTCCTCTTTTAGTTTTCTTATCTGAAACTCATATTGTAGAAACTGAAGCTTTTGATCAGTATAGTATTCCGGGATATATTGTTGCTGCTTGTTTATCACATTCTAGACACACTGGCGGTGTTGCTATTTATGTCAAAGAATCAGTTCAATTCAACCTTCATACCAACGAAGTTATTGATGGCAACTGGTTCTTGGGCATTACAGTTGTACGTGGCATGAAGATGGGTAATTATGGTGTTTTGTATCATTCTCCCAGTTCTAGTGACCAGCGTTTTGTTGAAGTTTTAGAGAACTGGTTTGAGACATTCCTTGATTCTAGTAAATTAAATATATTGGCTGGTGATTTTAATATTAATTGGCGTGATAACCATAATTCGAATCATTTGAAGCGTTTAGCTGAGTTTTTTTTAATTTAAAGCAAACGGTAAATGAATATACGCGTATTTCCAGGCACAGTAGAACTTTAATTGACCACGTTTATTCCAATTTTGATTCCGTTTGTTCAGTTACGGATACTGATTTGAAAATAACCGATCATGAGACTTTAGTGATTAATGTCTTAGACCATGTTAACGATAACGATAATTTTGTAAAATTGAAGTGCTGAAGGAAATATTCGATACAGGCTGTTTCTAATCTTGTTGAGAGAAGCCTGGATTTTCCATTCGCGGCCGGTAACTTAGATGAATCTACAGCTGTTCTTAATAACGCTTTGAAAACGTGTACCAATCAACTAGTTGAGCAAAAGTTTGTTTCTTTGAAAAACTCGAACAGCTGGTACAATTTGGATCTTTTGCGTCTTAAACGGAAAAGGGACAAATTGTACAAAAAGTTTTGTAGATCTAATAATGACAATCATTGGACTAGGTACACAATCGCGCGTAATAAGTATTCACAATCGATAAAGAAAACTCGTTGTGAATATGTTCAAAGGAAGATTGATCAGCATCAAAACAACAGCAAAGAGTTATGGAAAATTTTGAAATCTTTATTAAAACCTTGGTAATTGATGATGAGACTATTGATCGCGTTCGGGAGATTAAATATCTTGGCGTGATTATTGATGACACACTTAAGTTCAACTCTCACATTGACAATGTCATCAAGAAAACTGCCAAGAAGTATGGAATTCTATGTCGACTGAAAAACGATTTAACTATTGCCAGTAAAATACAGCTATACAAATCAATCATCTCTCCTCATCTTGACTTTTGCCCTTCCATTTTATTTCTGGCCAATGCAACACAAATATCGAGATTACAGCGCTTGCAGAATAAAATAATGCGTTTGATTTTGAGATGTAATAGATTCACTTCCTCAACTTTGATGTTAGACGCCTTACAATGGTTGTCGGTGAAGCAAAGAATTGTATATTTGACTATGGTGTTCATTTTTAAAGTAGTTAACGGTTTGCTGCCTCGATATTTGTGTGATCGAATTGAAAGAGGAAGTAACTTTCATAGATATAATACTAGAAACGCGGTTGAAATAAGAACACCACATTTCTTGACTTGTGCTTCACTAAATTCATTATATTATAAAGGAATAAATGTTTTCAATTCGATGCCTAGACATATCAAACGTTTAGCAACACTTACAGAATTTAAAAGATACTGCATTTTACACGTTAAAACTCTCTTTTGAACAGTTATCCAGTGATTTTTTATGAATTGACAAATTATGTATCTTGACGAAGTTATCTCTAACGGATTATTTTATATGGATAGCTGTCATAACGACTTTTTTAATAATTATTGTAGCACTGCAAAAACTATTTCTGTTCGCCACGAGGGTTATGATGGATTTTTAATATTTGATTTAATAGTAGATTAATTAAAAAAAGTAGTCTACAAAGGTTTGAGCCTCGCGCGCGTATTACGTAGCTTATTTGAAAGATACCTTGAGTTAGTAGTAAGTTTTCTGACAAATGTTAGGGGTTCGTGAGCATTTCTGACATTGCTGAAAATTTGGAAAAACTGGGTATGCAAAAGTGCTTATATAGTCAAAGTCTACACATCCAGAAAATTTTATTGAAATCTGAGAGGGTGCTGCCAGCTTCGATTCGATTTGGCGCGAAATGCTTCAAAACCATCCATGAACCTTACCGACTACTATAACCATAACCATGTTTTCAAATCATAAATTAAATAGTTCCAATATAATTCCTTTCCCAAAAATGTATGGAGAAAGCAAGAATTTGGAATGGTAATGGTTCTTAACAACCTATTATTTGTAAGGTTCACCTCCAAAGGACCGTAATACAGAAGGTTAAAACTTTATCACACAAACGTTCATGTAAAGTTCCATAACCATTTCAGTTAAAGTTAAGCAGGGATTATAAACAATTTTTAACCATTTAAAATAATGGACAAGCAATGGTTCGCATTTATGCGGGCTCCAAGAATCTGGTTGGCACTCCACTCCATTGTCCAGTTACAACTTCAAAGATACATTGATGCACCCTACCACCCCAGTGTTTTTTGAATATACAGGATATTTTTTTATTTATATATATAGATATATATTGGGTTGTTTCGAAATAGCGTGCAGTCAATCCTCCCGTCAAAACAAACATCACAGCAAATGAGACTGATTCATATTTGAGTACCGTTCACTCAAACTCGCAAAAGCGTAAATCACTCGTAGAGTGAGTAAATTTTTATCAAATATGATAAAATGTTACTCATATTTGAGTGACAATTAAACATATATGAGTGACGTTTAATCATATTTGAGTAAACATTTACTCATTCCATGAGTTACTTACGTTTTTGTGAATATGAGTGATCGGGATACAAATATAAGTCATATTCATTTACCGTATAGGCCCTTCGAAAAACTATCAAGACAAACAATGCATTAGGTCCTAAGTAACATTGATCGATTCTCCTCGCCCACTTTCTTTTTTGTTAATAACTTAGCTACAAATCCGTTTCTTGTCGAGTTTACCGTATTAGATGCTAGATAATAGCTACTTGTTCGATCGTACCATCGGCGCCGGGCACTATTGGTTTTGAACTTGTATAGCGGCAACAACAAAAGCCCCCCGGTGCGTGATGGTGACCATGTGATCGACAGTAGAAAGAGCCGTCAAGTGTCCTCACACCACTATACCGATTAATGTATAGCTTGATCTTTCATGTTTTATTTACGGATGATTAGTATTTTGATTTGATATATTTTAGTATTCGAATGTTCGTTGTTTTGTGTTAGCTCATAAGGGAAGCTATTTATTGTGAATTTATTCTGTAAGCATACTAACTCCGAGCAGGCAGGATGCCTCTCGGAGGCAATAAAAGTAATATTGTAGTGCCGCCATGTGATGCTTGTAGATTATTGTGTGCTCTGAAACGACATCCTCCACCGCCTTGAAAACATCACAAAACACAACGTAGGGCCGCATCCTGGCCAAAACACTTCTTTTATCGATCTATGTGTTGGAAATAGCTGGAAGTATCTATACATGGCTGTGGGGATGCAATGTTACTTAGGAGCTAATACATTGTTCGGCTTGCTATCACTTGACTTTACAGTTCGTTATATGTGTGGTCGTTAGATGAACTATTTGGCTCGTGGTTTATGTTATCTGGATCAATGGAAATCACTATCTTTTTCATCCTCATCAGTTTTTACGCGAAAAGTGAAAGTAACGTCAACAATGTGGTTACATATGAATGATAAATAACTAAAAAGAAGCGCGATTCCACATGCCGATGCTTTATAGATCGAGGTTCATCTTCGATAGGACGAAGTTGCATCCATTTATGGACCCATTTTGAGTACAGTAGACCCACATTACATCCACGTACCTGGAATGTTTTCATGTTAAAATGGTGAGATTAAACAATTTTCAGTCGTGCCTAATCAATATCCAAATAATAAGAATATCTAAGCTTACATGTTCACAGTGAAATATTGACGGCAGCTCAATCATTACATCAGATAGCTTTCATATAAGACCGAGGTAAAGGACATAAACCTTATCATAAACATAAATTGTTACTTTTCAATTTTTCCAAATTTTCAAACACGTCGGAGCAAACAAACGTCAGGTCCGTTCGCACCTGTGGGGTTTCACTGGACCAACCGGATCTTAAATAGTGATTTCAACAGAACGGCTAGATGACACCTTTTACAACTAGTTTTATCATTGATTCGATAAAAAATATCCACAATAATCTAACATTTCGATGCTCTTATACCACAACAATTCAAAGATCTCACGAGAAAATTTCGGACCGCTCATCTCTTTGTTTGAAACATCCATAACGACGGTAACGTCTGGTGCATCAAAACAACACCCACCTCTCACGATCCATAACTCTCCGCGGTGAAATTTGGTTTTCTCTCTGCTTCACACAGTTTTCTTCAACATGGAAACCATAACACAATTTTCTCAACCTTCTCACCCGTGTTATGCTCTCACCCCCAAATTTTCCGTTCGGCAGTCTCACCAACAACGAGCGCTTTTCGACTCGTTAACCAATTTGCTTCGGCTACTTGACGACCATCACATGTTCTCTCGCGCTCACAGTCAACGAAACCTGACCTTCGTAACATTCGGCCCTACATAGGAACGAGAGAATGCCACGGTACCAACATATTCTGGCTGAGAGAGAGAACGATCGCCTAACGCTTCCGATTTCCTTTTCTCGATATGTTACGAACGATTCCTGGCCTGGCCTGGCGCCGCTAGGGGGGGTTTTCTGATGTGATCTGCCCGCTGCTGCTGTGCTCTCTGTTGGCGGATGCTCCTTTAGATGCGAATCGCATGCCGGTCGTTCAGGACGTGTACGCGCGCGTGATTTCGGGCCACAGTTTTTCGATTCAATTTCTGCGGAGGTGAATCTTTCGAGTTCCGGATGCGCAGCATAGTTTAACGGTGATTAGCTGCCTGTCTTGCGCGAGTAATCTGAACTTGTGGTTTTTCGGGTTTGCAGGTTTTGCTCAGCCGTGGATCGGAACTTAATGGCTTGATTATAACAGTGAAAGTGCATAGTTTTCGCGGAAGTGAAATTCACCCGGGTGCAGCAGATCCGTTGTTTTTGCAGGAGCTACTCGCCCTGTTGTGTTTTTTTTTTTTGGCTCGGGCGGTCGGTTATATTAGAATAAAGGGAAAACCGGTAAAAGCAAATATTTGAGTGTGCTCCAGCGAAATTGAATGTGCTGCTGACCGGTCCTGTGGGTCCTGACCTAGAGCGTGGGAGAGTGTGCAAGGGGTGGGAGTGTTGCGAGAATTGCGGGGCCAAGAGCTCGATGTCAGTGGAAAATTGAGTTGAAAGTTATTGGCGAGTGGAGTTCACGTGCTTGGAAATATTTGCTGCAGCACCGTGGTGTGACCGTACTCTACATACCATAAATTGGCCGAGAAGATCCAGCGAAAGAAAAACGAATGGTGCAATTGCAAACGCAGAGGAAAGAAGTGCAGTAAAATAGTTTATGAATGGAAAAGGGCATACCGAAAGAAAGAAAAATAAAAACCAGTTCAGCGTCATTTATTCTGCGAAAATATACTGAAGCAGTGCACGAAAGCTGTGGAAAATAAATATATTTCCGAAACGGGAGAGAAAAAAAAAAGTGTGATGGTGAAAAAGCAGGGTGCTCAAACAAATGGCCCAATAATACAGTGAATCCTGTCGGGTAATGAATATATATTGAGTGAGACGTGGATTCCATCGCGTAGCATCGGTGGATTGTGCACGGGGTGAGGCGAGTGAAAAGTGATTAATTGGCTATTAATTGAAGGACACAGTTACAGAATCGCTTTTGATTGAAATCAATTCGATTCGGACGGCTAGGGGGAGCAGGAAGCCGCGCAAATATAACAAAGAAATTCGAATTGAAACGCAGCAGGAAGCACGTCACGCAGTTCCGGTGATTCATCGATATCGGCCTGTGGGAGAAAATATTTACGGTAGGCAATATACCATCATTTTTTGAATATGGGCCATAATTGAAATTCATTTATGCTGTATTGTCCCCGGTATGTAAATATTTATTATTTATATGGAAATGGGTGTGGAGCTGAGGTGGTTTCCAACGAATGACAGATCGGGGCGTTTTAAGCTCAAGGGGCTTTGCCGGGTTTATGGAATGCGTTTCGATTAAAATGTATGAATGTTTAAGCTTTGAATTTATTTTTTAAATACAGTTAATGTAATGCATTGAAAATCCATTACGGCGCTCTTCAGATTGTACCGATCTTGTTCAAACATAAGGATTCTTTGAATTTTGTTTTTTTTTGTTTTTGTAGAATTCAAAACAACTGTGACAGTTTCATTAATCATTGTCAAAACCAGAATCAATAAAGGGGAAGTCCCTTAAAAACCACCTGAGAGCAGGCATAGGATGGTTTTTCTTTTTTCAAGGAGATATGTTTTCAGCTGTTCAAAATCTTAATAAAATTCAAAGTGTGAGCAATGATGAATTTATGTCTAAAATACTTAGTACTAAGTGTGATGCCATAAGTAAGTCAGTAACTCTTTTTGGAGATGTTTATTTCGACGTGCATCCAATTACAAGAGATCTCTGTTCCCGCTGGATTATGATACTTGGTTCTTTCAAGGTGATTCTTTTTATTTATATTTTACTAGCTGAGTGTGCTCAGCCTTGCTCGGGATTCAATACAAGCTTGAGTTTATGCGCCGATTCTTAAAAACATGCTATATTTGTCTGTTTCATTTGTATGGGAGCCCCCATTACAGAGAGGGAGGGGTCTCAAACCATCATAAGAACCTTTCCAGGCGCCAAAAACCCCTGCATACAAATGTTCACGCCGATCGGTTCAGTAGTTTCCGAATCTATAAAGGTCAGGTAGACATGCAGAAGTGCATTTATATATATATAAATATATATATATACAGCAATTCCATAGAAAAAAGTTATAGTGGGTCTCAGAATTTCATGAAAATTGGTATAGTTCTTCCTTATCAAAAAATATTAGACTCGTATTTTTTTATTGCGCCATTAGGGTGACCATTTCCGTGTTAGGGTGGTCCAAAAAATCATTTTTTTTTTCAAAAATGTCTTCTTTCAAAACATTATAACTTCTGAACCTCTTGACCGATGTTTACGATTGACCCTTCAAATGAAAGATGTTTTAATGTAGTTTTAAGAAAAATTATGAAACACTCAGAGATATTTGATTTTGTAGGAAAAAAATATGTTACAAATGCTTTTTCTTGATTTGCACTGCGAGGGTCTTCAACAACTTCTTATTTTAGTATTTTTAATTGAAAGATCATTTAATTTTACATATAATATCAAAAAATTAGCGATTTCGGAGAAGCAGTTTTGGAGATACAATTTTTTTTAAATAAAAAATTATTGTTCCGCAATATATGCACCACACGTGCATGGAAACGATGAAGACGCAAGGTAGTTCACAATGCGTCTCCATCGAGTCACAGCAGCTGTGACTAATGAAATCTATGAGTAACTTACAAGCTGGGTGCAACATTCAGTTCAGCCTGGAGGATGTCCATAAACCACGTAGACCAATTTTTAAACATTGCAGATCCTACCTCCCCCCTCGTATACTTTACTAAAATTTTAAAATATTTTTACCGAGCGTATACTGTGGCTGGACTCCCCTCCCCCATTGAAGTCTTCGTGGCTTTAAAACAGGCCCCAGTTTGACATTATTAATTTTGGTATCAAAATTCTGGGAGAAGTACTTAAATGCTACAAATAATGACGAGGTCGAAGAAAAATAAGTAAAACATGAAGCATTTATTTTCTTTAATTACAATTTCACACATTTTTCTGCCGTTGAAAATGAATACCGTTTGACAATAATATACTTTTCGTTTTGAGGCTTAAAACTATGGAATGACTGTGTCCCCGAAATTTGGTTCACATGTATATAACGGTTTTTCAATTTTCTTTCCATTTTATTGTAATCGGATTCCGAAAAAAACTGATAGTGTATTTTTGAATCTGGCTTAGAAATAGCCCATGAGTAAAGTTCTTGGGCCGTTGTTATATGGTGGCCTTGCAAACTCGCTTTCGCAGCGTGTCGTTTTAATACTCCTCCCAAAGCATCACAAGGGCCCTTTCCATGACAAGTTGCGAAAAAATTCCCCTCGGCAGCAATGCCAAAATCTTTTTGCATGTTGCATAAATTAAAAGCGGTCATCTTATTTTTATATTGGCTTCCTGATCCATCTAAGAAAAAGTAAATCTGTTGTAAGCTTGGCAATTTACATTTTATGAACGCTAGACAATGCGTAAGAAATAAACGAACTGCGACATGATTATGTTTAGTGAAATCAGCAATTGCAATAAAACTAGTAAATTTCAAATCGTTAGATTCTTCGTCTTTAAAATAAATAGCACAAGGGTGAATAGTACATTGGGCGTTCGCCCAATGAAAGCCTTGAACTGCATCCTGCACAACGAAAGAATAATTCTCCGACAAATCACAGATTATGATGCATTCTGTAGCTTTCAAATTGCTTTTGACGTGTTTCATGTAATTTGCCTGTTGCTCAGCTATAAAGTTATGCGGCAATAAATTGAATAATTTTTCTAAAAAAGTATCAATAAATTCCTGTGTGTCCATTTCAACTAAGTCCATAATGCATCTCTCTACTTGACGCCATTGTTTGAATTGTATTGATTCAACATGTCCGTTACTAAGAATAGTCATTAGTTCTGTGGCCAAAATTTGCGTTCCTGAACAATTTTTGCAACACTGCAGCCAGGATTGTTCACTTGGATTTTGACAAATTATTTTTTTAAACAAATCGTGATAGGAATCAACACCATCTGGGAGTCATTGTCTGCTTTGTAGTGTTTTAAAAATAAGTTTAACGTTCTGATGATATATACAAACGCATACGGTATGCGTACCACTTGTCCCTGCCAAAATGCAGTGTTTCGGACGGTTACTGGCGAACATGGAAAATCCTATTTTAATATCAGGATATGTATTTTTAAAGATGGAGTACGCCTCCTGCAAGTACAAAACTAATCTTCTTTGTACGTAGATTTCACCTTCATCATTTTTAGATATTAAATAATCTCTTTTCCCCGGACAAACACGACTTATATCGTCACTATTGTAAAAATCACGAACAAGCATTATCGTTGGTTCTCCTAATGAAGCTCTGCTTAACCTCTTTACAGGCACCGACATTATTCCTTTCTCTTGCTGCAGTGCTTTTGCTTGGTTGGCCATATGTTGGGAAACATTGAACTCCTTCATAATTCTATATGTAGACCAACTTTTGGGAAGTGTGGTTAAAATCCTGTATCGCTCATTGCTGTCTCTTGTTTCTTTATATTTATCCTTAAGTTGTATAAGGAATTCATTTTCGTCCGACAAAGGTGCGTTGTAGGTGGTAACGATCGATTCAGAACTGGTTGTTTCCACTGATTCTGAAAATAAATATAAAAAATGATTGATAATTAGAAAAAAAAAACATACAAATGATTTATTTTTTATTATTTACCTTGGCAGGGAAAAGGAACCATTCTGGAAGGTCCCGCAACGGAAATTGATTCAATGCTGGTTGCTTCGATGGACTCTGAAAAATGATTGCAAAAAAGAAAAGTTTAAGTTAGTAGTTAAAAGAAAAGAATTGAAATTTAAACAAGAATCACATGAATTTTCAAATAACGTACCTGCAGCAGCGATTCTGGATGTTCCTGCAACGGCTTTTTCGGTCACGGCATCATTGGGTTCATATAGTTTGTGGTAGCATCGTTGACAAATGAAGGAGCTACTCTCATCTATTTTAATCTTTTTTTCCACTGCATAATCGTACAATTTATTGGTGATTTTTCTGGCACATGAACTCAACATCCAAACATCACACATTGAACACTTACGTTTCATTTTTAGATATTCTTCAAGTCAACTGTTCTAGTAGGAAACTTTGATTTCTAACTGATCATTTCTTTCATAACATTCGTTGTTATATCGTACCTACGAGTGAGTGATATACCTACGAGTCTAAGCTGTAACTCATAGGTATATCACCTGTTCGTAAGCAATGACGTCACTTCAAACAGCTGTTTGAGGTAAATAGATGAATATTGCGAATAAATACAAACACCACCAAACATTTCCAAACGTCACTAACACCGCGAAGCCTATTGGGCTGGAGCTTATATAAAAGTCATTGCCTACGAACGAGTGATATACCTATGAGGTACAGCTTGGACTCTTAGGTACTGATGCAACATGCAAAAAAATTTTGGCATTGCTGCCGTGTGGCATTTTTTCACAACTTGTCATGGAAAAGGCCCTATGGGAGGAGTATTGAAACGAAACGCTTTAAAATTTGAGTATACGAAGGAAAAGGTAGGATCTGCAATGTTTAAAACTTGGTCTACGTGGTTTATGGACGGCCCGCAGGTTGAACTGAATGTTGCACCCAGCTTGTAAGTTACTCATAGATTTCATTGGTCACAGCTGCTGTGACTCGATGGAGACGCATTGTGAACTACCTTGCGTCTTCATCGTTTCCATGCACGTGTGGTGCATATATTGCGGAACAATAATTTTTTATTTAAAAAAAATTGTATCTCCAAAACTGCTTCTCCGACATCGCTAATTTTTTGATATTATATGTAAAATTAAATGATCTTTCAATTAAAAATGTATGTATGTATGTATGTAAGGTAGCCACCATCCCTTCGAAGATCTTGTCTTGTATGCAGCTCCACTTAATAGCAAGATCAATTTGAGCTACCGATCTGAATTCACAATATCGCTGTATGAAGGGCCAAAAACGGTGGGGTGGACCCGTAAGCAGAGACACTTACGCGAAATCCACGGGAATTTAAGAATCTCCTTCCAACGATACGATCCAACAAATCGAATAACGCAATTCGCAATACTTATTAAGCTTCCTACAGGATGGTTTGTTAAGAAGGGCGCGTCAATCTCACTGAAACTGTTGGAGT